CCCCCCCTCTCCCCAGGGCAGTGCTACTGACTGAAGTTGTCTTTAGGCCATTCCCAAAGGGGGGATATTAACATGTTCTTACGTACAATAGAATAGTAAATGGACTGATTTAGCAATGTCATGCTCATACTGTTCCGGAACAATATAGGGGGAACTGCTGCTTTTTCTGTCCTCATCCTGATTACTATCGTCATTTTCCCCTCTACTTCTTTTGTATGTTTGTCACTCTCTTGTGAACTGTTATTTCCGGGGTGCCTTGATAGTCTAAACAGACTTTGAACTGTTGAGGTTAGAGAGGTGAACAGAGTAAACGTTTTTCCCTGTTTGAACTTCTCTGTTGCCCCCCTCCCCTTGGCGTTCATATGACCTCACTATAAAAAGAAAAAAAGACTTTAAAAAAGACACACGCAGCTGCTGCTGTGTTAAACTTTGTTTAATGGAATCACTTTGATAGACGTTTGCTCACAGTTTTTCAAAGACATAAATTTTTGATTTACTCTTTAAAAAATGTAGGTGTTTTACGCCCCCATCGACACGAATTACACCATTTAGGAGGCGAGCGTTCAATCCTGCCTGTCAATGCTAACCCGAACTGAAACTGAAAGGGATACAGCAACCCAACAGAAAGATCGAGATTCGAACTCGGGTTTCCTACGTGAGACAGAAAACATCCAACTGCTGCACTACCGAAGCTGGTACTCTGACGTGGTTTGAAAAAAGATGGATATCTGTGATTTCTTTCCCTTATTTTTCAGATGTTTCCCCCATTGATTGATTGATTGATTAATTGAGTGATCGATTGATTGATTGACCGAAGAAATGTCTGATTGATTGATCCGTCGATTGATTGATCGATCAATCTATCGATCGTTCGATTGCTTGCTTGCTTGCTTGCTTAATTAATTGATTGGTCGATTGATATGTTGACTGATTGATTGATTGATTGATTGATTGATTGATTGATTGATTGATTGATTGATTGATTGATTGACTGATTGATTGATTGACTGATTGATTGATTGGTTGATTGGTTGAATAATTGATTGATTGACTGGCACATTTTCCCCAGGTCGGAGACAAGGTGTGGCTCATCCCAGGGCAATGTGATGCGTGCAGCCACCTACATGGGTGGTTTGTAGGTGTCCGTGCAGGGATCGTGGAGAGCTTGTGGCCTGTGGTGGCCAGGGGGCCTGCCGTCTAGCTCACTCCTCACCAGACATCACAACCCCCCCCCCC